GCGCTCGCCCAGAAGCACAGGGGCCATCCTCCCCCCCCGCGTCCTCCTCCTTCCCCTACCTCCTCCTCCCTTCGTCCTCCTCCTCCTTCCCCTCCTCCTCCTCCTCCTCCTCCTCCTCCTCCTCCTCCTCCGCCTCCCCTCCTCCCCCTGCCCCTCCTCCTCCTTTCAAGATCTTTCAATATCTTTCAATATCGAGTCCATACCGCTATCTAGCGGTGTACCCGTTCAGAGGATGTCGTTCAGGAGGTTGCCGAATTCGCTGAACTCGTCCTCACCACGACTGGGCCTAACCCCTCGCCCTGCAGGGGTGGGCTGTGCCCTGGGGCCTACCCCCTCGCCCCGCTGGGGTGACGAAGATGACCCAGTCGAAGGTGTTGCAGAGCACAGCGTACGCGACCTTGGGCCTAACCCCTCGCCCTGCAGGGGTGGGCTGCGGCCTGGGGCCTACCCCCTCGCCCCGCGGGGGTGGCGTCGAAGTGGCCTGCGCGGTCCTTCGGGTGCTGGGCGGCTGCATCCGCGGAGTTCTGGGAGCCGTAGCTGCGCTGGTGGCCGCCGTCGCCAAGGTCATCCACCTCCTCGGGAAGACGGAAGCGCACCGTCTTGGCGATGAGTCCGAGATGGTCGCTTTCTACGTGGTGGTCGTCCTCGGGCATGCCGACCTCGCTGGGGCTCAGGTCCTCGCTGGCGTAGGCGCCGAGGTGGTACCGCATGTTCTTCACGGGCGGGCAGTCGGTCGCGCCGTCGAGGTCGTAGTTTGACTTTTCCTTCCCTGTGGTGATGAGGGGCTTGTGGAAGTGGCCGCAGCTATCTGTCAGCTCCTCCTTCGGGTGGTGCTGCTCCTCATCGGCCTTCCGCCTTTGGCTCTTCTCGTCGCTCTCGGTTTGTGTCCCGTACTCCGCCAGCCACTGGTTGATCAGTTTGCGGAGGCGCGGGGCCATCTCCTCGCCGCGTGCGTCGGCCTCCTTCAAGGCGGCCAGCACCTCCGCCGCATTCCCTGCCTGTACGCCGTTGGTGTTTTTGTTTCGCACTGGGCTCTCCGCCGAAGCCTCTGGGTCCTCCTGTTCGTCCTCTGGGTCCTCCTGCTCGTCATCTGGGTCCTCGCGGTCGTCGCCTTCGACGTCCTGTTCCTCCTCCGCCTCCCCAGGGCCCTCTGGGTCTTCCTTCTTGAGGAGCTGCGCCCACCGCGGGTCCGTGGCGAGCATTGCCTTGGGGTCCTCGGTGGTCCAGTCCGCCATTTCTTCGCAGGTGAGGCTGCTCCAGGCCGCCGCTGCCACCTCCTCCGAGCGGCCGCCTTGCATGCCGTAGCGCAGGAAGTTCGCATAGGCGGCCAGCTCGGCGTTCGACGTCTCCACGTAGTTGTTGCGCTGGTCCTTGGGGAGCTGCGCGTACACCGCGAGCGCTCCCATCGCTTGCACGGTGTCCCAGCGCGCTCGCAGGGTTGCCACGTTCTCCTCGTTCTTGTCAGTGGCGTGCTCGATCTCATCCTCGAGGTCCTTCTCGAAGACGCGCCACGGGCTTCGGATTGTCGGTGTGATTAGGTTTCTCTCCCATACGGCCCTGTCGATCTCGACTGCCTTGTCGATCTCGAGAGCCTCTGCACAGTAGCTGTCTGTGTCGGCTGTTGCTTCGCCTTCCGCATCTCGCAGGGTGGCTTTTCCGTGGCCGCTGCACTATAGCTGACGTCGTCGGGCTCTGGCTTCGCCTCCAGCCTCTCGCACGGTGTCTTCGCCGTAGCCTCTGCACTGTGGCTGATGGCTTTGGCCTCGCGCTTCGCCTCCCGCTTCTCGCAAGGTGGCTTCCCCGTGGCCTCTGCACTGTAGTTGCCGGCGTCGGGCTCAAGCTTCGCCTCCAGCTTCTCACTATGTGGCTTCGCCGTGGCCTCTGCACTGCAGTTGCCGGCGTCGGGCTCGTGCTTCGCCTCCCGCTTCTCGCACGGTGGCTTCGTCGTGGCCTCTGCACCGTAGCTGACGCCGTCGGGCTCGTGCTTCGCCTACCGCTTCTCGCATGGTGGCTTTTCCGTTGGGCTGCACCACTGTCTGCTGCCGCTGCTCTCTGCGTTCGCTCGTCTTTCTTGATGGAGATCGGCCCATTCTTCTTCAAGGCTATATCCAGCGTCTGGGTTCCAGCGTTCCCAGCCGTTCCATGCAGGGGTGAGAAGGTCGAAAACGGCCTGTCTGAAGGCCACCAGCCGCTGCCTCCTCATTGATCTGCGTTTAGCTTTGGACTGCATGATGTATTGTGTGGGGTGCCGCTGAGGGTCCCTCAGGGCACACATCTCATCCGTCACCAAGCAGCCATGCATCGGCGCGGCCGCCAATCGGGCCCCGGGGGGGAGGCTGTCAGGGCACGGAGTGCCTCACCCCTGAGGGGCACCGAGCGGCTCGCGTGAGCCCGGCCTCCTGGGCGGCCCGATCGCGGGCGATCGCGCGAGGGATCGATCGACCGACCCCGACGCGACCCAGATTAGGAAAACAGTCTGGGGACGATTTTCGCGCTCCTTCGATGACCATGTTTGATTATTGTTTGTTTATGCTTGATGTTTCTTGAACATCTTCCTGTATCAGGACATTCCCGACCTGATTCCAGCTCGACGTTTCCCCCCTGAGCTGGTCCCCCCTGCTGTTGCTCTTCCGAGACGGGTCTGGAGGCTTCCTCTTGCCGTCTTCGGGCTCTGGGGGGCCCTCCCCAGGATCCCCAGGGCTCCCGGGGCCCATCGCCGACCCATCGGCGATGCATCGCCGATTCCAGCTCGACGTTCCCCCCCCTGAGCTGGCCCCTCAGGGGAGGGGCTGGCCGCACGCCCGCAGGCCGCCTCGGTCCGAGATCCGCCACTGCGCCAGAGGCCCGTCGAGGCGTGCCAGACTGCCTGGACGCCCGTTGGCAGTCTGCGTTCGGGGCTCAAGAGACGGGGGTCAACGCAAGCGGGGGTCAGCCAGGGCACCAGATCCTGCAGGATCCTGCGAAGATTCCCTCTGGCTGACCCGGGTTAGCGAGCCGCTCGTGGCCGCGAGGCGGCCGCGCATATTGGCTGACCCGGGTTTGCGAAGACCTGCGTTGCATTTTTTTTTCCTGCATTGCAGTTTTTCGTTTCCTGCTGACCCAGGTCTGGATTGATCGGGGTCAGAAGATCCCCGATGCGTTCCTGTACATTTCACTTCACGTGTGTTCCTCGTATGTTCTTTGCTCCTCCCCTGGCCGGCGCCTTTTCGCTCTCTCCCCTCCCTCCTGCACGGTGGTTGAATTCGCCCAGCGCGCCCCGTTTCGCTTGATCCGCCAGCGCAGCCCCTCTGCTGCGCCGCCGACGCAAACAAAAAATGTTCTTGCTCCCCAGGGGGAGGGGCCAGCACCTCCCCTGGCGGGTCTGCAGGCTTCCTTCCGCTGTTTTCGGGCTCCGGGGGGAGGAGGAGGAGGAGGAGGAGGAGGAGGAGGAGGAGGAGGAGGGGGAGGAGGAGGAGGAGGAGGAAGGAGGAGGAGGAGGAGGAGGAGGAGGGCGGAGGAGGAGGAGGAGGAGGAGGAGGAGGAGGAGGAGGAGGAGGAGGAGGAGGAGGAGGAGCCTCCCCGGGTCCTCGGGGCCGTCAGGGGCCGGCTCGGGACGAGCGAGAAGGTGGCCTTGGGGGAGGGCCCCGGGCTCCAGGGCCCGTTGCCTTCTGATGCACACTCGGTGGCGGACAGAGCTTCGTAAAGCTACAGTGGAGTCCAGTCCACAAGAAACCTTCCACAAGAAACCCAACCCTGAGACCCCAGGACGTCCATGGAGTTCTGGGGTGGGGACGTCACGCTTTCCGTAGCAAAACCATCGAAACCCAAGAACCCCAGGGCACCCTGGAGGCAAGCAGGGTTTTTCTTGGCATGGGCCTCCATTGTACCCCTCATATCGAAGAAGAAGAAGAAGGAGGATTGGCATAAACATGAACTTTGGGCGCTCCCCGCGGATTTCTTGGATCTGCGCTGGGCATCCCCGTCGGCGCCGCTCCTGGCGCGCTCCGCGCGCCAAGGTGGGGGGTCCAGCGCAGATCCAAGAAATCCGCGCGGAGCGCCCAATGTTTACGTTTATGTCAGTCGTTTTTTTTGTATACTAGCGTGCGGTACATGATGTAGTGACCCTGGACAGCGCAGCAATGGCATGAAAGCAGTGATTGGATGGGAAGCAAGGGCGGGGGGAAAGCAGGGAGATGGAAGAAGAGGGCCCGTTTCCTTCAGGGCCCGCTTCCTTCGATCCCACAGGCACGGCCAGTCCCTGCTGAGCGAGATCATCCCCCCGGGCTACGGGGGCGCGCAGGGGGCCTTGGCGAGGTCGAGGCCGGGCGTCGTGCGGAGCCGCGGGTGACGGCGTGCTGCTCGTGTCTGTCGAGCAGTGAGCGCGCCGATTGGGCCTGCCTCACGAGTGCCATTTTCGGTGTGAGTTCAGTTTTCGGCCTGCACGTGCCCTGCTGGAGCAGCGGATCTCGAGGTATGGAGGAGTGCCCCTTGCGGGAAGCACAGGACCCGTCCGGATGGCTTCCCGATTGTCAATACGTAGCAACTTTTTCGTGGGGTGCTTCTCAAAGCCTCCGGCGCAGTCAATGTGTGTATATATCAGCTGGGTGTAATACTTCTTAGACTTTCTGTGGAAAGCCGTGCGTGTTTCGTGTCCCTTGTCCCATTCCGCTCGTCGGCGTCGTCCTCCTCCACGGTGGCTGCCGTTGTGGCACAGACATCGGCCGTGAATATTCACTTGATGCTCTGAGTCGTTTTCAGCCACGCGCAGAGGGGGGTAGGGGGAGGCGGGAAGGCTTCTTGGAAACACCCCTGCTTCTTAGAAGGTAAGGGTCTTCTCTATAGATGTAAGGCCAGCGCCTTCTAAGAAGCAGCCTCCTTCTAAGAAGCCTTCCACCCTCTCCCTACCCCCTTCTGCGCGCCGCCAACGTTTGAAGACAACGGCCCGCCTCGGCGAGACCCAGCACGACAGGTTGGGATATCCTGACCCTGTTGGTGCGCCATCCAGGCTGCACGCTCAATTC